TCATAAATATATTATCATTTGTGTTATTAGTTTGGAAATCAGAGACCGTTAACTGTCCCCCAGTATTTACCTGCTCCTTCTCCCCTTTAGAAACAGAATGCGCTCCTAAGTTCTGGCCAGGCACAGAGCCGCCCAGATAAAGACCACCTCTCAGCCTCCCTTGCAGCTAGGTATGACCACGTGACTAAGTTCTCATAAACAGGTCATGAGCAGAAGTGAAGTGTGCGACTTCCAACTCTTGGCGTTTTAAGAAGTCTGAGTATGTACTCTTCTCTCTCCCCTGCCCATTGCTAGAATGTGGACAGGATGCCAGCTTCAACCAAGGAGACATGAGCAACACCTTTGGGAACAGGAGCAACAGGAGAGGAGAGTCTCAATCCCCAAGGAAGGCGGACTCCTGCCTTGCTCTAGGCTATTCTATGCAACAGAGATCTTGACTGAGCACTGTACTTTGTTATAGCCATTTAGTAAATATACAAAGATAGAAATATTAATTTAACCTTCTACTGTACAGCCCCCTTTCCTAAAAGAAAATCATACTTTCCCAGGTATTCTTCTTACTGGGTGGAAATTCAAAAAAATAAATATTTTAATCTGTATTAATATGGACATAGTACAGCAAAGTGTGGAATTTCAAAGTGAGGGTTTTGTCAGGCCCCAGAATTCAAATATTGGCCACTTCCTAAGTTTTGTGTAACTTTGGAAAAATTACTCATCCTAACGTCAGTTTCATCATCTATAATGTGATGGTGATAATGCCTACCTCATAGGGTTTTAGTAAGAATTAAATGATAATGTGGGCGCCTGAGTGGCTCAGTTGGTTGGGCGGCTGCCTTCGGCTCAGGTCATGATCCTGGAGTCCCAGGATCGAGTCCCGCATCGGGCTCCCTGCTCAGCAGGGAGTCTGCTTCTCCCTCTGACCCTCCCCCCTCTCATGCTCTATCTCATTCTCTCTCTCAAATAAACAAATAAAATCTTTAAAAAAAAAAGAATTAAATGATAATGCATATCGAGAACGTGATAAGTACTCAGTAGGTGTTAGTTCTTATGATAATGATAATGTTATTGTTACATTTAAGTGGCAAATTTAAGTAGCCATATAGGACAAAAAGTATTGTGGAGGATAGCTTCAATTCGTCCAGAGTTGGATAAACCAAACCAAAACGGATGAAGCAAAATTGAAAAACCTTGTTTTTTCACCCATTGCCTTCCTCTTTTTTAACCCCAATGAAGCACCTCCTCCCCGTAGTTCTTGCTTTTCTAAACTGTGAGCCAAGCAAGAATGGATATGTTCTCCTCAACTCATCAGTTCACCTAGGTATTTTTATTTAAAGCCTTTGTTCAAGGGGGTGTCTGGGTGGCTCAGTCGTTAAGCGTCTGCCTTTGGCTCAGGTCATGATCCCAGGGTCCTGGGATCGAGCCCCGCATCAGGCTCCCTGCTCCGCGGGAAGCCTGCTTCTCCCTCTCCCACTCCCCCTGCTTGTGTTCCCTCTCTCCCTGTCTCTGTCAAATAAATAAATAAAATCTTTAAAAAAATAAAATAAAATAAAAAAATAAATTCTTTGTTCAGGGAATCCCAGGCACTACATTATAGATAAGAGAGGTATTTGGTGGTGCCTCTTACTAAATTTATATTGAAACTCATTTTGTCACGGGTCCTTCATTCCGCCCTTCTGTTCGGTCACCACGCTTTGTGCTCAAGCTCCCCAGTCCCTCCTGGACACTTGGCTTGAGGCACAGAAACACATATTAGCTGTTCAGGAACTCAGCATATGAGGAGTGGAAAGAGTTGAAGGGGACAGAGAGAGAAGCCGTGTAATGACCAAACACAGGGCCACTCTGGCCCTAAGGCCTGGGGACGTTTGGGGTTGGGTGGTGCAAGGGGAAAGAGACAGCTTTGGGAACAATGGAAACTGGTCATTATAAGATCCGGGACATGTATATTTTAGGTGTGTGGGTTGTTGATGACAGTGGTAAAAATGAGGGAAGATAAACAGTGTAGGGTATTAGAGCGAATGTTAGCATAGAAACCCATTACAGATACTAGAGTAATGAAACCAGAGGAGAAAACCCTGATTGCAGAGTTTTAGAAATCATAAAGTATAGAAAATAATGAGGCATTAGTAGGCGTGCTGCTGCTGCTGATGGTAGTTGAAGCAGACACCTTGACAATGAGTGTCCTGTGCACTCCTCCCTTGGTTAGCTGGCCCGCTGGTCACAGTGCAGCTCTGAGTAACTTGTCATCTCTGCCCTCTAGCCAGAGTTGATTAAATGAATAGAAATATCCTGGGTGCCTGGGTGGCTCAGTCGGTTGAGCGACTGCCTTCGGCTCAGGTCATGATCCTGGAGTCCCGGGATCGAGTCCCGCATCGGGCTCCCTGCTCAGCAGGGAGTCTGCTTCTCCCTCTGACCCTCCCCCCTCTCATGTTCTCTCTCTGTCTCTCATTCTCTCTCTCAAATAAATAAATAAAATCTTAAAAAAAAAAATAAATGAATGAATAGAAACAACTAATCCAAGACAGGCCCATCAGATTCTTTCTCTAGAATATAATAATCATTTACTCAACAGTCGCTTTCCACTTCTGGCTATGATAGAGCAGACTAACGAACCCTCTTGCCAAGAAGAACCAGATGACTTAAAATATCAAACCAAAAAAATTAAAGTAAATTAGCTACCAAGCTAGCAAGACCTGAGAGCTAAGATCCTAGAGAGAAGGAAAGGAAAGCACACACAGAATAGCCTGACATTTGGCAACACTTTTCTCCTTGAGGCATTTTAAAGAATGGCCGAGAGACTGGAAAGCTGAGAAGTGCTTTATGCTTTCAGTTTTCTATTACTGAGACCAAAAAAAAAAAAAAAACAGAGTTCAGGGCCTACCAAGAAAAAGAGTCCTAGAGACACCCCTAAAGTCTCCACTGGAATCGCTGGAGGGCTACACCCTAAGAATAAGGGCTCATTAGTACCAGGGGAGGTCATTGAGAAAACGTGACTACCACTTGTCCCCTGAGCTGGACCTGGACAATCAGAGGCTCCTTACCATCCCCGCCCCAGTCCTTGGAATGCGTGCTCTGCTGTCTTCCCCATTCCCAGAAGCTGTCCCAAGGATACAGCTTTGAGATAGCGATATAGCGTTGAGACCATCTGGATGGTATATGTGACCGAATCCAGTTAAGACCTCTGCATAAACTTTTCAGATTTGGCAGGCAGGTGCAGAGATGCACTCCTCTTGTGGCCATCCGAGACAAGCCTCCTAAGTTCCCTTATTTATTAAACCCCCCACCTACCAAATCTGGAGTGGTCTGCCTCTTTCTTCCACCTCTCCCTGCCCTCAGCATAAGGGGGCTGGTTTCAGATTATACCTGGGAAGCTTCCAAGGAGGTTGCGAATCAACAACTAGAAATAAACAATCTCTGTAAAGACTGAAACACAAAGTTGAATTAGCTCAATCTCAGATTAGATTAAGGTAATTAGCCTCTATCCTAATAGCTTTGTCCAAGCATCAGCAGCAAAAGTATATCCTCTCTGGGTGGTGATAATATCATCCAGAACTTCAAATGATCTCTTCAATTTTTCACGTACCATGTTCAGCACTCAATAGACCATTTAAGCAACCCAAGAGATGAAAATATAGGAGACAACAGAAACAAACCTCCGAAGATCCAGCTATTGGAGTTATCATTTACTCACCAGTTCACTGCCTACCTACCACATGTCATGAAGTGTGCTAGGCAATGAGAATATATTGAAGAGCAGACAGTTGTGACTCCTGCTTTATGGAGTTTTAGTCTGCTGGGACAGATCAACAATAATCCCTCATTTGAAGGGGAAGAATAAAAAGCCAGTGAGAGTCCATTAGATGGTCATAGGCAGGAAACTGTGAGATCATGGCAGGTGGTGGCCAGACCCCAGGCCCATGTGAATTTTAAAGGAGCAAAATGTAAGAATCTTACAAAGAAAGCTTGTCTACCACAGAAGAGAATGGAGTATATTTACAGAAGAAAAGCACACATGCAAAAACATCTAGGCCTAAAGAGAGAACCAGAGAGGTCAAGAGTAGCTTCCTGATGGCTTTCTAGTTCCCATAAAGTCCTGTCTACAGTTCCCATAACTGGGTTCCAAGAGATTAACACTATACCATCTTCATCAGCACTACTTTGACTTGAGCTTCCATAAGTGAATTTCTGTTCCTTGCAACAATCAGGTTATCTGACAAAGACCGGAGCCATTTATGTGACCTAGAGACTATGATGTTAACTGCCATGTTGCAAAAAAGGGAAGAGAAATCAATTCAGTGTGTTAGCTTAGCTTGTTATGAATTTCATCCAGTTACACGAGAAAATCCCACTTACGCATGATCAAAATTACCCAGGGTAGTGGTATGTTGAAAATAGAAAACAACAAGAAGGGAGAGCAGGTGCCAAAGAGTTGCACCTCTGTCCCCAACACAAAACTCCAAATAAGTCAAGTTACCTTCCAGACAAGTGAAAATCTAAATGCCGTATCCAAGCAAGTTTTATGGTATTACCCAGGGTAGTGGTATGCTGAAAATAGAAAACAACAAGAAGGGAGAGCAGGTGCCAAAGAGTTGTGCCTCTGTCCCCAACACAAAACTCCAAGTAAGTCAAGTTACCTTCCAGACAAGTGAAAATCTAAATGCAGTATTCAAACAAGTTTTATGATAGTCCATTCACAAAACATATGCCCCGCATTTTTAGCCATGTAGTTGTTCCTTTTCTAAAAGTATCTAACTGTGTTTTATCTGTGCAGATCCCTGTCTTTGGCCTCTCCTCCTGCCAGTATGGCTCCAGTTAGAATGCCCTTCTGTCCAAACTGCATATATTCAAAGTGGTCCAGAAAGAGAGTGCTATGCAGAGGCAAACAGAGCAAGGGCACATAAAGGAACAGAATGCACTGGGGAGACATGCAGGAAGGTGGAATGGTACTTGGGGTTCAGCAAAACAAAACCAAAAACTAATTTAAAAGCACTGTAACTAGGTAGCTCAGGTTCCCGGGCTGCTGCCGGACGCGCGTCGGTTAGTTCCTGTGCACCAGTCCCCGCCGTTTCTCCGCCAGCATGCCGATGTTCGTGGTGAACACCAACGTCCCCCGCGCCTCCGTGCCGGACGGGCTCCTTTCCGAGCTCACTCAGCAGCTGGCACAGGCCACCGGCAAGCCGGCCCAGTACACATCGCGGTGCACGAGGTCCCAGACCAGCTCATGGCCTTCGGGGCTCAAGTGAGCCGTGCGCGCTCTGCAGTCTGCACAGCATCGGCAAGATCGGAGGCGCGCAGAACCGCTCCTACAGCAAACTGCTGTGCGGCCTACTGGCCGAGCGCCTGCGCGTCAGCCCGGATAGGAGAGTGGGGCGGCGGGGGTCACCGAGAGGCGGGGGGGGGGGGGGAAGGCCGCAACCCCCTGAGCCCGGCGTCCACGCCCCGCAGAACCTACATCAACTACTACGACATGAACACGGCCAACGTTGGCTGGAACGGCTCTACCATCGCGTGAGGGCCACGCCTGCCCGACCCGCCTGCCCGACCCGCCTGCGCCAGGCCCTGCCACCCGCAATATTGCGCCCGCTTCGCCCCCCCGGCGACCTCCACCCCCAAGTCGGGATAAATAAATGGTTTGGAGGCTGCAAAAAATAAAATAAAATAAAATAAAAGCAGTATAACTAAAGGACACAGGGCATATTTGAATTCCAAGAGCCAGAACTTCAGTACTCTTTTGAGACCTTGACCAAATACCCTCTGGCAATGGTAATTATATTTTCTTTCTCTCATTTTGGCTTGTTTGCGAGTAGGCTAGATTATGTTCATTTACAGGTTCGTGTTATTTATGCTTATTTACAGGTTCATCTGTACATCTACACGTACACCCAAAGACACCTATGGTTTATGAATTTCAATCAGGCACCTGGGTGGCTCAGTTGGTTAAGCGACTGCCTTCGGCTCAGGTCATGATCCTGGAGTCCCGGGATCGAGTCCCGCATCGGGCTCCCTCTGATCCTCCCCCCTCTCATACTCTCTCGCTCATTCTCTCTATCAAATAAATAAAATCTTTTTTAAAAAAATTAAATAAATAAAAAAGAAATAAATGTTTCTGTTGGTGAATTCAGCATAGCACAGCTTAGAATTTCACCCACAGAAATGTCAGGTCCTTCTTCCCTCATCCAAATACACAAAAATGAAACAAAAGAAACGTGCTTCACTAAGTAAAATGAGCTAAAATTAGCAAGCAGCAAAGATGATGCCAGTTGCCCGGGGCAACAAATGGTTGATGGATGGAATAATTAAGATCGACAGTAAACTAATCTCAGTTCCTTTATTGAAAACAAAGTCCCCTGAATCAATTAGCCTTGTCATGGATACCTTTTACAAAACAACCATGACTTCCCAACCACTTCCCTTTGTTTATAGATTTGCCCATCCTTCACTAAGTGCAAAAACTAATTTCAAAAGCACCAAGAGATAATAATGGAAGATTCCGATACATTAGGCACCGCGCAAATACAGCCACAGTCCTTGAAAAATATAAATATCACAAAGCAGGCTCAGAAGACTCCACGCACTTACCCAAAGGCACAATATCCTCAAAGTTTTGCTGCTAAAAAGCCTAAAAGCCATCTTTTGCAGGCCAAGCATGGACCTGTCAGACTAGAGATCTAACTCTATTGTGAGGCCAATCCTCACAAGTGATAGAGTTGGGAGAGCAAAAGGTGTCAAGAGGAAACTTCCAGCACTCACACAGTCGCTTTGGGGTCAAGAAACAAGACAAGAAGCTGACAGAAAGGACGGTGCTTGGGGAGGGGGTGGGGGCAGGGCGGTGGTGGTGCTAACATTCCATACCGAACAGATCAACGTGCCGCTACTGCAAGCATTACCCTGAAGTTAGGGAAGAAATCGAAATTATCCGAGATGGCCAAGGAGAACTCACTCTGATCTCTAGTGTTTCCGTGACCTGAATTTAAGCAATGGCTGTTACAATCACTTGAGAAGCTGAGGGATTCTACAGTCAATCAAAGGTCTTGGGGCAGAGGATTATGACTTAAGCATAAAACCCTTCGTGAGTTATTTTTATAGAAAATTCTGCTCATTTTATTTGTCTCCTCTCCTGCTTTTTTTCAGTACAGCAAAGCAAAGTCGGTTAATGTTTCTTTGACGGTGTGGGCTCTTGCAGTGCTTTCGAAGTAGTACTTATGAATATCCTGGTTGGGTATGTTTGGGGAAATAGGGATTTAAACAGAGTTTAAGGGGGGCGTCTGCGTGGCTCAGTCGTTAAGCGTCTGACTTCGGCTCAGGTCATGATCCCAGGGTCCTGGAACTGAACCCCACATCGGGCTCCCTGCTCAGCGGGAAGCCTACTTCTCCCTCTCCCACTCCCCCTGCTTGTGTTCCCTCTCTCTCTGTGTCTCTCTCTGTCAAATAAATAAATAAAATCTTTAAAAAAAAAAAATAAACAGAGTTTAAGGGATTTCTTTGCCACAGAACATTTCAGGACATTTAATGTGAGTATCTGAATGGAAAACAGAGTTGGATAGTGACATAGTACATAGTCTTTCCAAAACTTTTTGGGCAGAGAATCAGGTTTTTTTCCCCACAAACATGTCATGGAACTATTTATTCCACAAAATACACTCCTAGAATTTGTATTTGAGAACATAAATGTAAATATGAAAGGCGCACAAGAATAGGCAGAACAGATATGCCCTAAGGATATATCTTGTAAACCGCCCATTAAAAACGCGTATGCCACTGTTACTTTAATAAAGAGGAGAAGGAATTTGGAGTTGTCCAATAAAGGAATGTGCTTTTTTTCCCCATAACAGTCAAATATCAAAAATCAAAGCTTGGCAGAAAAATAAATGAAATGAAATGAAAGCTTGGCAACTTAGGATATCTAATCACCTGATTACTTTTTAAAATAAGATTTTATAATAATAGTAATAACACTGGCAAATTTCTATATTTAATATATGTGCTGTATGTGTGTACGCTGAAATTTTTGGTCATGGAATTTTATCACACTGCTCTAAGATGAAAACGTGAAAGCTTTAGCATCAAAGCTAAAACCAAGTGGTCCTGACTTGCCCCCAAAAAGTTGGCATCTGTCACAAATGTGCTAACCCAGGGCAAATGTAAAACAGCATTATTTTCAAGGCGAAAATATACATAGCAAATCACAAGAGCTGGATAAAGTAGTCTTGGGGCCATTTTACCTCCCAACAGAGAATAATAAAAAGGAATAATAGATTTTGCTTCATTGTAAAAAATTAAACCCTTTAAAATCATCACTAATGGGGCACCTGGGCAGCTCAGATGGTTAGGCATCTGCCTTTGGCTCGGGTCATGATCCCGGGGTCCTGGGATCGAGTCCCGTTTCGGGCTCCCTGCTCAGCGGGGAGCCTACTTCTCCCTCTGCCTCTCTCTCTCTCTCATGAATAAATAAATAAAATCTTGAAAAAAAATAAAATAAAATCATCACTAATGGAAGTAGATTGTTCCACTTTATCTTTTAAATAAACACCTGTTTCATGCAGATTTAAAAAGTGATATATGCTCACTATGGGAAGCCTGGAAACCACTGGACATTATTAAGAGACACAAGACTAAAACAGACTCCTAAGCTTGCCACCAATCATGGGCATTTTGGTGTATGTCCTCTAATACCCATTGTTTCACAGAGGTTAGGTCACACAGTGTATATTTGACATCCTACTTGTTTGTTTCATTGACTAATGATCTGTGACATTTTTCCATGCCTTCAGAACTCTTTGAAAACAGATTCAAAATGGCTGTCTATGATTTCCACGCCTTTAACATGCCCGTTACCAAGAGCGTTCAGCAACAGGGAGCTCTGTTTCCCTCCTCTCCAAAGACCTCACCTTGGAAAAACTTTACTGGCTACACAGCCAGGATCCTGCTGTTGGTGGAAAGGCTTTGAAGGCCATACTACTGAATATTCACTGCATACAACAAGCATTTTCTTCTACACAATTTCAAGGCCCAAAGCTGCATTTTCCTCTCAAACGCAAATGTAAAATGTACCCTTAGGCCTAAAACACTATTTGCTTTTGCCAACTCACCAAATGCAGGAATCATCTGTGCAGTGGCTCAAGACAGACATGGCTGAACTTCCCTTCTGAGCACTGTGATATTATAGACCCTCGATGCCGCAGGAAGTACAGCCTGAGAAATCTGTGAATCACAGGTTAGAGTTTTACTACCAGTAAGTGTATGTGTGTCTGGCTGTTTAAAGTCCCTCTTTGTAAATAAATACATCCAGTGGTGAAAAGAAAACAAGTCTGCTTATATTTTTCCTGTGATTATGGGTCCCGTCAGAAGTGATACAAAAATTCTGTTATCAGTATAGGTGAGGGTGGGGAAGCTTCCACCAACTACTCAAAATGCCATCCATTAACTAGGATGAGGCCATCTGTTGCAGAGAGAGGGCAGTTCAAGTTGAGTAGGCACTCCTCCTTCCTGGTGGGCTGCGGCTGGAGAACTCCAAACACCTTTTCCTGGGGTCAGGAAGAGCCATCAGTAGGAAATAACTTTGAATCGCTACCCATGTGGGCTGGATATGAACCAGCCCCCTTAGAACGGCCGATCTGGACAGAACAGCACTAAACTCTGGGCCCTGCCAGCCTCCCACAGCCAGGCTGCTGACACTTTTATTTGCTGGCATTTACAATGTTGCAGCAGCTCAGCCCCCCTAATGTGGCTGCTTCCAACACCGCACTTAGGCAAGGACTTTTGAGAGGAAAGCAGAAGAATGCTTCTCTAGGGCAGGAAGCCTCCACCAGTCCTGTTCACGCACAGGGGAACTGCAGTGTCTCAAAAGCAAAAGCTTGGGATTGGTTAATCTCCTAGTGTTTTCTGCTTCACAAACAATGTGATTACTTGTCACACACACACACACACACACACACACACACCTGTTAGGGATTTATCGTGATTTTTTCCAACTACTTACAATGAAGAAAAGCAATTTGCCATTTAAAACCACAGCTGCCTCCTAAGGAAAATGGCCATGTTAAAGGGGGGATGAGCATCTGCTAAAGCTGGAGACGGCCCAGCCATCGGACTGAGCTTTCTGCACATGAAGACAGGTGTAGATCCAGTTTGGAAGTCCGCCTCAGGCAGGAGAGCTGAAGTGTGCTGCAAAAGAGAGGGAAGAACTGGGCATTTCCAGGCACCATTGTGCAAGAGAAGTGCAGAGCATGTGGACTGGAAAAGCACAAGCACAGAAGAAGAAGAGAGGGCTGGCAAGAGAGCCACAGGCCAGAATGCCCAGCGGGGGCGTGCACTGGGGAGAAATCCTGATGGTGGGATGGACCAGAGGACTTGGCCCAACAGGGATGCCTTCATTTATCCACTGTGATATAACCTTGGGGCCTGCAAACCTTCAGGGCAAACTCTGCTAAATCCAACAGCCTTGTTTATGTAGTTGATCGGGAAAGTTAAAACTTACCCAGACCTGGGACGCCTGGGTAGTGCATTCGGACT